GTATTATATTTATTAGTTCCAAATCTCTAAATAAATTAAAGCATGATGAACTGGGTGCCTTTGTTAAACCCGTTTGCGGCGCTTTTCGGAACCAATCCAAAGACCGACATCTGCAGTTTTAGTTCACCTAATAAACAAGCTCCGTGCGCCATTTTTTACTTTTTATTTATTAGTTTCTTCCAGACACGGTTGGTTTTGGAAGTGATCTGGGCAGGACAAAAAAAAAGTCTTGTATGTGATGAGAAAAGCCGGTTATGAAAAGTTGAGCAGAGGACAAAAAAGAGTGGTATTGAACTTATCTGCCCTCTCACTTCAGCAGCGCCGCCTGGCACGCTCCCCCCTCCCTCCCCAGCATCCTCCTGTAAGGGGAGGAGGTGTCGGTTTGATCACTGCKTGCGCTCTCACGCAAATGGTCAATCTTTAACTCCTGCAGAGAACACACAGGTAGGCATAGGCACGCAAAGACATTTTTTTTTACCACGTGCAATATAGAGGTCTCCAAAGTTTAGATRCATGAAGGGTTTTTACGTCTCTGACATCTCATCCAAAAACAGAAGTATTTTATTTTTATCTTTTAGACGTGCATAAAGAAAGCTCTTCTGCTGTTATCCACACAGATCAGACTCGGATGAATACAATCCTCTGCGTCAGCAAAAACTTGCACAGATGGAGTCAAAGTGCGCAAAAGAGAGCATGGTTAAAACTAGAACAGAAACGCACATCAGACTTTAAATATCAGGAGCCCAAAGTCTGTACAAAATACTTATGTGAGCAATCAGAACCTGCAGAGCAGCAGCTGATGTGAAGATAAAGACCTATTATCACAGATTAAAAATTAATTCGCAGCTGCTCTGACTTTCTGTGAAGACACTCTGTGAAGCACCGAGGTTGTGTCCTTTCAAGACTAATTAAGATATCAAGCTGTTTCAAAATTCATTCATGACAGAGAGAGGTGGAGAAGGGAGAAGAGGAGAGAGGTGGGGTTGGGGGGTGATGATGTCACGTTCTGAGCAGCCAATCACATAGCCCGGTGCTCTATAAAAATAAGAGTCCACTCRGTCTAAAAGAGTTAGGAGAGGTGACTTGGAGAACAGCCTGACAAATCAATTTTTTATTCTTTTACAGTTTGGACAGACGCCTCTCAACTCTTCCTATCATCATCCACCAAAGGTAAGCTAGACATTTCACTTGTTTTTCTTGGATCAGAGTCAAAATGCCTTTTAAAAAACACCCTAAATGTAAATGTAATTTAAATTGCACACGCAATCTGTAATAATTTACATGTCAATTAGTCAGAAATTTAAAGCTTCATCTGCTGTTGTACTTTATTCAGTATGCAAAGATCAAACTCTGCAGAGTAAAACACATGGTTCAGTTCTCACTTACTTCAAACTTAACTGAGCGTACAAATTATTGCACAACACCTTTTCTTCTCCCTGCCAACAATGATCTAATGCCCTTCCTATTTAATTTACAGGCTGAGCAGAACACAAAGAAGAAGAAAAAAGTTGGCATCATGGCATTAATGATCCTGCCATTCTTTGGAGCAGTGTCTGTATTCGAGAGTCTTCTAGCTCTAACAACGGTGTGCTTGGTCTACTTGACCCTCAAGTACTACCGCAAAGAGATTCCCGAGGGTCTTCGTCAGCTCCCAGGCCCAACATCTTTCCCTGTCATTGGGAATTTGTTGGAGCTGGGCAAAGCTCCTTACCTGAGTCTCACTGAAATGGGCAAGCGTTATGGAGAGGTCTTCCAGATTCAGCTTGGCTCGCGCCCTGTTGTCGTTCTGAGCGGTTTAGAAACTGTCAGACAGGCTCTGATCAAACAAGGAGACGACTTTTCCGGCAGACCTGATCTCTACAGCTTCCGTTTCATCAATGACGGCAAGAGTTTGGCCTTCAGCACAGACAAAACTGGCGTTTGGCGGGCTCGCAGAAAGCTGGCCTACAGTGCCCTGCGTTCTTTCGCCACCCTGGAGGGCAAGAACCCAGAGTACTCCTGTGTACTGGAAGAACACATCTGCAAAGAGTCCGAGCATCTGATCAAAGAACTCCACACCGTCATGAAGACCAAAGGCAAATTCGACCCCTTTCGCTACATCGTTGTCTCTGTCGCCAATGTGATCTGTGGCATGTGCTTCGGCCGGCGTTACGACCACCATGACCAGGAGCTGCTGGGCTTGGTAAACCTCTCTGAGGATTTTGTCCAGGTGACAGGCAGCGGAAACCCAGCAGACTTCATCCCTGCCCTGCAGTACCTGCCCAGCAAAACCATGACAAAGTTTGTTGCCATAAATAATCGCTTCTGCAGCTTTGTTCAAAAGATTGTCAGCGAGCACTATGCCACTTTTGACAAGGTACTTCACACATAATTTGCCTGTTAAAAAATCCTAATCAATCCATTCTAACTGATAAGACTGATCCTGGCTTTTTAGTCACTAATGGTTTATTAATGATTTACTTTCAGGACAACATCCGTGACATCACMGACTCCCTGATCGATCACTGTGAAGACAGAAAGTTGGATGAGAACTCCAACGTCCAGCTATCAGATGAGAAGATTGTTGGAATTGTCAACGACCTGTTTGGGGCTGGTACGTTTAATACACGTTTAGTTATGGAGCTGATAAAACTGGATGTATTCATGAGTTTATAAAACCACATTCCTCACAGAGCTTTTGTTTTTCTTCTAGGTTTCGACACCATTTCAACTGCTCTGTCCTGGTCTGTCATGTACTTGGTGGCTTACCCAGAGATCGAGGAGAGGCTTTTTGAAGAAATTAGTAAGTTCAGCTTTTTTCTTTTGTAAATTTATTTTCCTGTGACTTTCATAAAACACGTAACATGAGTACATTGCGCTCAAACCTTTGATTATGGCACCTTAACATGGCTGCTCTTGTTTTTAGAGGACAAAATAGGTCTGGAACGTACTCCCAACCTCTCTGACAGAAACAACTTACCCCTCTTAGAGGCCTTCATCCTGGAGCTCTTCCGCCATTCTTCATTTTTGCCTTTCACAATCCCACACTGGTAAGGTTTGTTTATTTAAACACAGTGGAAAGTAGCCCTTTAGCTTTGAAAAAGATGTTGTTATGGACATGCAAAGTGTCCAGAGGAGAAAGAGGATGGACACATAAATGCGACAAAAGAATGCATAATAATAAATATTGAATGGATTGCCATGTTTTCCCTCATTTCTAGTTCTACAAAAGACACATCCCTGAATGGCTTCTTCATTCCCAAAGACACATGTGTCTTCATCAACCAGTGGCAGATTAATCATGACTCGTAAGTTTATTATTCTATTAAGTTTTATTAATACTGATAGTTGAATTACAAAATAATAAAAGGTGCTGATTCAACTGAAGTACTTTATGTCTTAAAACCCATTTTAACTTTCTTCTTGTTCATTCCACCCATCAGTGAGCTGTGGAAGGACCCGTCTTCCTTCATCCCAGACCGTTTCCTCAGCGAAGACGGTACTGAGGTCAACAGACTTGAGGGAGAGAAGGTGATTACTTTTGGCTTGGGAAAGCGGCGATGCATCGGCGAGGTCATTGCACGGAATGAAGTCTTCCTCTTTTTGGCAATCATCATCCAGAAGCTGCACTTCTACCAGCTGCCTGGAGAGCCCCTGGATCTGAGCCCAGAGTATGGACTCACGATGAAGCACAAACGCTGTCTCCTGGGAGTCAAACTAAGATCTGAGAATGAGCAGTGAGGCTACTGATAATCCTGAATGTGTAACTCTGAAGGTGGTCCATGCTGACTTAGAGATTATAGGCGTCAGTGAAAGAAGTATCTTTCTCAGAATGTGAGGCACTGAGTGACTTATCTGTAGAGCTAATGGCATTAAGGCCGATAAATGAAGTTTGCTTGACACAAATTGTTGGTAATGTTCTGTTCTGATGATTTTAGTTTGAAAAGCAAAGTTTTTGCTTCTCGGTGAAGTTTAAGGAGATACTTGTTTCTTCTGCTGTTTGGTTCTGTAATATAAGAAGATCCCATTCAGAAATGATAAAAACAAGCAATCAGAGCTGTTAACTTTTGAAACATGAGTATGTTTTRGCTGATAGGCATTAATCTGAAGGAAACTATAAGTGAACAAATTACTCACTTTAAAGCTAATTGTTCTCATTTCATTATACTGTTGGTGTCAACACTGAAGCTATATTTGTATCCCAAAATGTGATTATGTTTGTTTAAGTAACATCTCTATAACTTTGATAGGTCATTTTTATCATCCAGGCATGTGTAAATGTTTGTGATGAAGTACCTTTTTATATAAAATAAAATGATTTACCAAGGCAGTTCAAACAATTTTGAAAAAAAAACAACAACACAAATTTGTACAATTTTATGTCATTAATATATTAGTTATTGTTTATGCTGTAAGGATGTGTACTCTGTTGTATATACTATTATTTCTGAAATAATAAAAAATATACTGAATATCCACCTGGTTTTTTTTAGTTTAAAATGACCTCACAAGCATGCACCTAAATGGCAAGAAAATGTATTATATAATGGTTAGATAGGATCTTCAAAGCAAATATAATTATCCTACTTACAACATTTCAAATTATCCCACTTTTCTTAATTATGTGTATCCAACTTTCAGCTTTAGATATTTACACAAACATTTTTTCCCGTCTAGAATAACATTGTATGATCTGATATAGAGTTACAGAWGCTTACATTTCACTTCCATTGGCTGTTCAGTTTTTTTCATGTTTATAAAATAATTCACTGATACAGATATTTATAACTTAGTTTTAAATACAGTATATATTAAACATTAGCTGGTAATAAGTCAGATTAAGAATATTAAGTATTCATGGTAGAATAACATTGTATGATCTGATATAGAGTTACA